ATAGAGCGATAGAGATTTTCTATTGCGCCTTGCGCACTGTCACGATTTTTCACGCCCATGAAAAATCCAATTTTCAAAATCCCAATAAAACCCCTTAATGATCCTGTAATTAGTCATGTTGAGTTAATGGTTTTAGTAATAGCATTTCTAGCGTCAAATATGAGTGCCTTCAATTCTCTTTGTTTGAGAGCCTCTCCAGCCCCTCGAGTTTTTTTTTTTCTCAGTACTTATGTTGAGTCCAGAAAAATTAATTACCCGAAAAGACAAGTGGTATGAGCGGTGCGTTTCGTATGACGTGGAAACTCGTCCTCGGATCCACAACCGCGTGTCTCGATCGAGCGAAAAAAAAAACACGAAAAAATATTGAAAAACAAAAATCGAAATCTTGAATAACGAGGGAAAAATGATTTCCCCAATTCTGCTGCGATGTCGTGATTTGAGTGGTGCTTATTATAAAGTGTAAACATTTGATAATAGACTTCTACCGTTTAAGTCTGTCCTCGGATGAACAGTTCAATAACACTCGTCGCGGTGTTTACGCGAGCCATTCATTCCGCGGTATCATATCGAGTATCAACGATTTTTCACATCGGAGACGGTTATACGAGCGTAGAATTACCGCATGCCTCATACGATGGATTCGCGTTTCACAACATTAATTCTTTTTTTTTTCACCTTCCTCTCTCTTTACACGTCTCATACACTCAAATGTGGGTGGCGATCGTGAAAGTTGCATTCCACGCTCGCTTAAACACCTCGTGTCTAGTTTAGCAAACCTGCATCTTCGATAAATAGTTGAACCGAGAAATCATTGGTTGGCGGGTAGTCTTAACTCACCAGACTCAAAATTGATTTCCGCTGATTTTCTATTTAGCTCTTCTAGCTCACGAGTCATTCAGTCAGTCCTAGGTTAACGGTATTGTCTGATTGCAAGGCGCTAAATATTTCTGCATGACTTACTGTACAACGCAGTCCAATCACGGAAGAGAAAATTATCCCGGCTTTATCGCCTTCTATAAATTCTCAATTGCTACAAAATGATTCATCCGCGATAATAAAATAATCGGTAAAAATCGTTAGCACTCTGTACGATTAAAACAGCATTTTGTTGTAATTCAGGTGTCAAAAATAGAGTTGTTTATGATTAATAAACCAGAGCCGGAGCTTCACACTGGAATATCGGTTTCCACAACGGTAAATTCACGTAAAAATCATATTCCGATTGTAAATTCATTTTTTTTTCCTTACATCACAAAAATAAACGAGTGATATTATCGACACATTGCGATTACTCAATCTCAATGAGACTCTTACTATCAATCCGATTGCAATCCGAAGAGTACGAAGAGTCTCTCTAACTCCCGACTTTCTTCGGGGGCTCTTCAGTCCCCCAAATCATGAGTTAGGGAGCGCCAGACGCTGAAATTACCGAATAACCCCTATAATGTAAACTCAAAAATGAAGTTAAAGACATTAAGGGGATAACCGTGGAAAAAAAATCGAGTATTGTTGGTGCGCAACCGCAATGATGTGCCGCTAGGGTGGAGCTTCCGTTTCCGGTGGCAAACGTGCCCGTTCGAATTGCCCGAAGGTTTGACATTTCGTTCAAGAAAACAACTCTCACAATTCCCTGCCACCCGCATAATTTTAGCCCCCTCTCACCCCGCCTGAAAAAATCAAATCCCCCTGACTCGATTATACCCATAATGAAATGTTCAATCGATGCATGGAATTGAGATAAAGAAACCGACGAAATGTATCATAACCAGAGACGACAAATGAAACTTAAACCGTGGGAGTGACTAAAATTAAGTAACGATTCTTCGTTCCTTTATCCCTCGTTGACATCCACTTTATTAATTTATACGGGGGATAATGGCCTGGAGGACAGGCGAAAGACACATTCAGAGGTTAATGTCGTGTACGATGCGCCTTTTCAGTCTTTTATTTTCAAATAATGAGGGGTATGCGCGGCTGTCCGAGTCGATACAGCTTCTTTCATGGAATTTAGTGAAATTGAGATGTACAGGGGTCAGGGGTTTATTCCGTGTAATTAAAAAAAAACACCAATTTTTGGTCTGAGGGAAAGTTTAAGGGTGCTCTGCCATATATAGCCAAAATTAACATTTTTTCATTTTCTGGTAAACATACTATGGAACGGACGTGACAAACTATGACGGGTTTGCGTTTTGTAATTATCTAATGATTCACGAGGCTTTAAGGTGGTGCTAACAATTTTCTACGTTTTTTTTCTAAATTTTTAAAAAGAATCACAAAATTATAGAGAAAATTCATGGAAATTGTCGCAGAACCACAGAACTTCGTGAGGTATCAAATAATGACAAAATGCATAACCTTCATATTTTTTCACGTCAATCCCATCGATGATTTTCCAAAAAATTTAAAAAACGTGAATTATGGCTATTTATGGGTGTCGAGTATTCTTAAACTCGCAAATGATTCCAAAAAATTGCAGCAGCCGTCGATTTCTAAGATTCAATTCATCATCTCTCAGATAAAATATAAAAATCCACTTGCGTCCCAGAGTTATTCTGTGTAATCTAAGAAGTAATAATGATTACCCGATTTTCACTGAGGAGAAACCAGTGAAATTGGTGGTATTCAGAGTTCCCAGAAATCTAAATACTTGATAATTTGTCGATTCGCCTCTGAATGCAATGAAATTCGAATAAACCTCTTTGTTTCAACGCTCTTAAACTAGTTATCTCCGAGAATTAGCGGAGCGTGACTCGTTCTCTCGATTGACTCCCGATCTGGCCCAACATTCGAGTCACTTGGTTTCACCATTACCCCCCTATCCCCCTGAATCGGTTCACTTGACTCTTATTACATTCGGTTTCATGTTCAAATAACCGCGAACGGTACAATATCATTTGTGCCAAGTACTCCTAGGTTCAATGAACTTCAGGTACTGACTCTCGAGTACCTGAGGAGTACGTGAAAGTGCATCGGCGTCAAGGTGCGTCCTTGAGTCTTCCGCTGGATTTTCTCTGACTGAAATCAGCCGACTTAAGTCAGATGGCAATTCATCGGAAGTTATTAAAAGTTAATTCATCTGAGTAATGATGATTAAGAGGAAAAAAATGTCTCGGGACAGAAGTCTGTTTGTCGAGTGTCATTAGTCATTCCTTGATAACCACGAGAGAATATCTCAATGAGCACTCGAAGTTGTTGAGTCTCAATCATAATGCATTGTCTCGTGTCATGTCTGATATTTAGTTCGTTCGAATAATGATTGGAAATGTCTGTCAAATGAGTTCATTTTCGTTTTGAACTATTAGTATATTAATTTCATTTTCAATTTCATTTTTATTTTAATCTCTTCTAATGGATGGAATACCAGATTGTATGAGTCTCATACATTCCAATGATTCATCCAGTTCTCGAGACTAATTGTAAATTAATTACACCGTCAGTTTTTTGGTGAACCGAAATCAGGGAGTGGAATTCCACAGCAACCTCTCATATTATTTTCACTCAGAACATCGTCTACTTTCCTTATCACGCCGTTATCAATGGTCTCACAATCCGATGTATTTTGCCTAAAAATATTCGCTTTAATCAATTGCCCGATTGTAACTCCCATCGAGGGAATACCTGAAATAACCAGTTGTCAACTTGAAATCAGAACGAGGGCATCGACTCACAGGATGGCATCAATAAAATTCCACACTACTCGGTCACCAGTAACTCCCAAAATTTAGTAAACAATTCAGGACAATTGTACAATACAAGAGCCGATATTACAGACACGCGTTGTCAACATCACAATTCCCATTCTCTCCGGGACATTCAACACGTCCCCAGGATTTATGACCGAGCTTCCGGCGTGGATAGGTTTTAAATCGTTCGAAAATATCATAATGCTGACGATCAGATGGACTGAAGTACCCAGAAACCCCGTGACCCCCGAGTACTCCCTTTGTCAAGACTCTTCAGGGGCTCATACCAGAATAAACAATTCATTTTACTTCGATTTTTGGAGGGATTAGCTGGGGGAGAGGTACTGACAAAATGAGAAATATTTTTTCGGGCACCGCCCTGATTTACCTCCTCTTTTACCCGTGACTTGTGTCTGAGTCAGGGGTTGCCATGCACAACCTGTCGTGCGCAAAAACTTCCCTCCTGTCCTCCTGCCCTCCCCGGTGTTCACCAAACCTCATCCCCTGGTATTGTACTAAAGTTTTCATAATTCCCACAAAAAATCACTGAAAAAGTGCCTAATCAGAAATTCCAAAAAGCTCTATTTTATTAATATAAATTATATTCATTACTCACATAGTTTTTATTCTAGTGGATGCACAGAATTGCATTGAATTTTCATTGACAAATTAATTGACTTCTTGAAATAATTAAACGGGTAGCAATTTAATCAATGGAATGGATGTAAATACTGAACCTGAGAAAACTAAAATTTCAATTTCAATATTTACATCTGTTTTAGTTTATTATTTATATTTTACTTATATTTTATTAACCGAAATCAATTCATTAGTTATTCACTTCCATCATACAATGAAAAATCATATATAATTTTTTCTTCGAAAAATTTTCAGTGGATCCTTAAAAAAATATTTTTACGTACAAAAAAATTCTTTCCAAAACGACAGGTATATACATATTTTTGATATGCATACCACGTCTAAAGATATTTCAAAAAACGATAATTCACAAATTTGATAAATAAAAAAATCCACAGATACGTCGCGTGGAAATGGGTATTTTTTTCAAATAAAAGGAATTTTGAATAGTTAACTATTAAGGGGATAGTTTGGAAGACATGAACTGGGACATGGGGGTAAGGTTAAAATGGAAAATGGCAAGGCGTCCCGGGACGATGGAACCGAAATGTACGCCAGCACCACCACCACCACCAAACACCACCACCACTTTACCAAAACGCCCAACCATCGTCTCTCTTTCTCTGACTGTGGATTTGATCCCTTCCCCAGCTACTACCTCATACTCACTAACTCACCAGTCGGTTGCGCGTTACCAAGCCAAGTGGATGACTTTCTTCATGTGCCTCTTGCCCGGACCATCACTGCAATCCTACACTCTGTGCAATCGTGAAATAGTTTTTTTTATTCTTCCATTATTTTCATTTAACTCACCCATTTTATCCAGTGCACCAAGATTAATTATCGATACTGCCGGATAAACCACTGTGAGTTCCAGCTGTGAGATTGATTTTATTTATTAGTTTTATTTTTTATTGTTGGAGTTTGTTCACCCGAGTGTGTGCATTTGCTAAGAAAGGATATCTGAAGTTTTCTGAGGTAATTCTCTCGAGGAATTTTTGACGATCGACGGGGAACACCCGGTGAGTCTTCTGTTTTGGCTTTCTTTTTTGTTTTACGGAGAATTGAGTGATATGTTTTGGTGACTTGTCTGTTGTGACTGGGTGATGCTCTTTTCACTAATTTCATCGACTTTTATTTTATTGCTGTTGGTAGTGATGATTTAGAGCTTAACGGCACTTGGAGGGAATGGTGGGGATAAACTTCTAGGCCGGTTTTGGTTTTGTGGAAGGACGAGTTTGCGCGCGTACCACTTCCTCGCTTTGTTGTACTATAAAACTCCAGAGGAGCAAAAAACCTTGAAATTTTTTTTTATTCAGGATTGTATTCACACAAAATTTTAACTTTCTTTTCACTCGGTATTACCCCACGGTCATAGCGAATTCAATGATTTATTGCCGATTCTCTTTGTGCGAGGGAAATGACCTCTCCATTTTCTCCTTGTGATTGATAGATTTTCATTTTTCTGGGAGAATAACTTATTGGGTCTTGAAGTCATTTCAAAGAGTACTCGGTATTTTTTATTCAGAGGCCATGGCAAATGGATCTTTTATTGTATTTCTGGTGAGTTCGATGCGAGTTTCGATTTTCATTGAAATAGTTTTGTAGAATTCCACATTCTCATGAATTCGTGATAATTCGGTTGAATTGGAATTCTCGGAATTTAGCTTTTTGAGAATAAATATTGCCGCAGGAATATCTTCGCTTCTGTGAAATTCGCCATTTTGAAAATGGTCAGTAATCGATAGCAACGGTGGGTGCACGCAGCAGTTGGCAGGGATCGGAAGTAATCGTTACTGTTCTTATACTTCTAGTTAAAATTACTTGAAAATAATCTGAATGATAAATTTAAAATCCCTTTTTTTTAATTAAATTTTTTATTTGCGACTGGGCATAAGCCGTGCAAACTGCTGGTGAAATTCGTATTATTTCCGAAGAAAGAAAACCGGTTTTGTGAATATTTTCTACTGAAAGGACGATTTTTCGAAAATCCTAAGGATTTTAGGAAACGAATTTTAGAAGGGTGTTCACTCACTGGAACGACCACCACTCACTGGGTCAGCTGGGGGCACTAAATTTTCCTTATCAAAAAATTTTCTGACAGGTTTCTCCTTTCAGATCCCCGACTCATGATTCACTGATAGAAATGAGTAACTCGAGCGGTAGTTCCAGCGAGTGAATATATCCCGGTGAATGGACAAATTCACGGAAAATTTTCTCGCTTCTACCAATTATTTACGTGCACAGGATTTTTATGAAGTCATTTAATTCAATCTATTATTCATAAAAATCATGTGTTTTTATTATTAATTTTTCTGGTAAATTATCTCCTCATTTTTCAAGTTTTCACAAATTCCTGGGAAACGTCTGATAAAATTGACGTAAAAAAATATATCGTTTCGACATTTTATTATTTCAATAATTTTCATACATTCTCAACAATCTTTTGTAAAAATTTACAAAAATAAAAAAAACAAATCGACGCATGACTGTAAAAATTTCAATCTGATTTACATTTAACTAGAAATTCCAAAAAACATGAAAAATGAGAAAATGTCGGCAAAACTCTTCAATGCCAAATACTAGAATTTTTAGTGTTAGTCGTGGAAATAGTAGATGACAATTTAGTGAGAGTTGGGTATGATTTTGTGGGTGTTCTCCTTGAAACTAGCCACTGGGTGCGAAATCCTCTTTGTGGTGATTTTGCATAGCCTCCAATGGGCCTCTACCTGCCGTGCATTGAAAAATGCATGGGGACCCGAGGGATAAAACTCTTGGGATACCCCGGGTGAGGGATAAACCATGAGAGGAAAAGGGAGAGCCTCTGGTTCTGACACGATTGTGTGTCAGTTGGGTTGGGTAAAGAAAAGAAGGCGAGCCGCTTTTATCCTGGAGGTTATTCAACGGCTCCCCAGCTATTCCAAGATTAAATATATTTTTTTTTCTCCTCTCTACCTTCTCCTACCCAACCCTCGCTTTTTCACGCATTCACTTATTTTCTCTATTTCCATTATAACAACCATTTGAGAGTATAAATTTCAATTTTTCATGCGCAATTGACAGACCGATAAAAGTCATTGCACTCGAAAGCTGTGGGATTTACATACCAACTGCGTTAAAATATTGCATTGAAAAAAAAAAACGTCAACATGACGCGATGTCTTATCTCCAAGCTGATGCGAATTGGAGAGAATATTTTTCTACGGCTATCTGAATCACATTTGTTTTGCTCATTGTTTTTATTTTTGTCATCTGTATGCCACTCAGAGTTCATTTTATTTTTCGTCGACAACTGATTGGAATAAATTGTGGCATCAAATATTTGGGGGGAATTTGGGGTAATTAACTCGACATTATTTCCGTTGATTTGGACATGAGTAGAACCCAGTTCTTGGGAAATAGTTGGGAATTAAACGAGTTTGAAGTTTTCGCAAAGACCTTTAAAGGTCGCTATAAAAATTGCCTCATATTCAGAGATGTTCATCAGGAACTCAGATTGAAGTTGAATAGAGCCAATTTATCTCACAACTTCACGATTTATTTCCTTTTGTTGGTGTTTCATTGACGATTACGCTGAATTTTATTGAAGCAGGTATTATTTATAATGCAAGATCCAGTGATAAAAGAACTTTCATTCATTCAATTTAATATGTGTCAACATTAATCATTTTTTTCCTGAATATTCATGATATATTGATAAATAAATTCCCAAGGAATCCAGACACGAAACAATTTACTCATGTCTTTTACCATTTTTTTTTATCACAACTTTTGCTCGTCGTTCCTCGTAACGAACTGTGCCATCGCTATCTTTCACACGCGGTAGCACTTCCTTCCCTCCCCTGCAATATATTTTATTTTTATTTTTTCATTTTCCTTTTCAATTTTTTTAAACAACACGTGCGTACAAATACGATGCGGGCAGTTTGTATGCTCCGCTGGCTTCGCATTATAATAAATTTTCATTCCTCGAGGACACACTAATGCCTCATGAACAGATGTTTTTCCAAAGGCAGATGAGCCATCAGTGTTTTCACATGACAATCAAAAATTTCAAGTGAAACCTGAGTTATTTTACCGCACGCTTCGTCAATCTCGTTCTCTCAGTCCCCTTATCACTATCAAAATCAGGGGATGTTTTTTCAACATTCCTCAGTGTTTTTCTGGAGCATCGAAGAGCTGGGGATAAACTAGGAAAAACATCTGTGGGGATTGAGCTATTGAGCGGATTGACACTGTGACAACAAATGTCTAATTATAGGCACTTCAAAGGAAAAGTCCCATGCCTTTTTTCCTCTTGTGAATTGTCGATAACTCCAGTATATTTCCAGTATACTTATGTTTCGTTGAATTGGGCCAATTTTTTCTGCAATAATTTTTTTATTGACGCGTCTCTATTGGATCCTTTGGAAATCCTCAGACGACTGATGTCAATCATATTGTCCCCTATTGGGCGAATATTCTGGCTGAAAGACTTGCCAACGATTTGTTGACTATTTTCATTCCCTCGAATGTCATTCACACTGATACCCTTGTATAAATAAAAATCTCCCCTCGCACTTTCTTCTTCGTCTGCAAGAGTGATACACTCGGTTGACCTTCTGTCCTCCTATAGACCTACCGGAAATTCTCGATGCCAATTATAGTGTGAGGCTTGGTTAAAGTACATTTTATTTCTACAACGCAAACACTGGGTATCCATCACACGATGAGTTAGACGGGGAGGGATGCAAATGAAAATAAAAGGGATAAGTCTGGAGAAACTGTCGGGATGAAAAATATGGAGACAAAAGCAAAAGGGAAAGGACAACGTGACTAAAAGACGTTTTAACATCCCACACACCACCAGGACGAGGTTTTTAATCGCATCGTAAATTATACCATCGCGACGTAGGCGAATTATTAAGTACGCGACGATTTTCTAGGGGAGAGAAAAAAATCGAGCAAGTGACATGGGGAAAATTTATGCGGAGGCTCTGGTGGTTTTACTATTTTATTTCATTGACCTACTGCTGTGTCAATAGTTTTTAATCGGGGGGGGGACTATCCTTGGGCATACAAGGGATGAACTGGTTCCAATTTCAAATATTTGAAAGGGTCTTGGCTATTTTGGTGAGACTAACCCGTCGGGGGACGTCGGCAATTTATGGCCAGGAAAATGGTGGGCATCCAGGAAAATCGCGAAAATTCCTCGCGCTTGGCGATGTAATTATAATGAAAACGAATTGCAGAATTAAAACATCTCGTTGCTCCTGTCAGGCAGATGGTACTGAACAAGTGGGGGTAGCATAACCGCGTAAATACTCATTGCAGTGTACTCCAATGCCTCCCTCATGCCACTTCTAAAATTAAAATTGTTCCCCTTTGTTGTACGTCGCGTGCCCCGTTTTTCAACAATACCTTCCCCCTCTTTACTCATGCCGTTTATTAAATCTCTGTGAAATTGAACTTACCGTTAGTCAACGCTCGTAAGCACTCAGTGCCAACAATTGTTCTTGCTCCAACGTGTGAACCTATTAGCTCAAACCGGAGAAATGCCCATTTTTTCAGGAAAAAACGCCCTCTTACCACTCTCTAATTACCTGAATTCCTGAGAATTATTATTTCAAACAAAAAAAATCGAGTTAACGCGAAGGAAAATTGTGGGTGAAGGGATTCTTTGTATTGTCCTTCTGGAGAATACTGTTTTGTGATTTTTTTTTTCACTCCAACGAGAGCTGTTTTCAAATTTTTTGTATTTTTCCAGTTTTTACAAAAATGTGAAGAAAAAAAAATCACCCCAATCCCAGGGGCTATGGCCCCTTTTAAAAAAAAATTGCCTTTTTTTTAAATCAAATCTTTTCATTAACTAATGACCGATTTCACGCTTCGTCACCGTATTTTTACAAAAATTCAATTTGTTTAACGAAATTAATCATGAGTATCATAAATTAATGTTAAAACAATGATTTGTTTCTTGTTGCAGGTGAATTGAAGTTGGTTGATTTTTTAAATAAAATAAAATATACGATAAATAAAGATGGGAGCGCGACACAGCAAAAGGTCCATGGATGTTACAACAACACCCAAGAAGGAGGGTTTGCCTGCTGAGGGTGGTGATGCTGCACCAGTTGGTGATGGCAAACTTGAGAGGATCGAAGAGGCCGATGTCAAGCCAACTACCAATGGCGTAGGTGCACACACAGAGGCCAGTGAGGACAAAGATGTTAAGGACAAGGACGCCAATACGGAGAAGGAGGAGAAGAAGGAGACAAAGGTAAGAGGTTTTTTTAGATTTTTTTAGGGTTGTCTAGGTCCTAGACTCCAGACTCTAGGATGCTGGAGCGCGGTGCTCTGGACTCCAGGAAAGTTTCCAAGAAATTTCATTGGGAATTTAATCGAGTTTTTCTCAAGATTTTTCAATAATTATCGGTTCATTATCAATGGCTTTCTTATCAGTCTCAATGCTATCTCAATTATTCTCGAGCCGTGAGCATTAATTTAAAATCATCAGCCATTTCTGCAGTGGCAATGGAATTTTTATGCGTGCAATGGAGCGAGTCGTTTTTTAAGGTTTATTATCGTCATTAGCGAGTTCCGATGAATTACATGCATAACATTTACGGTTACAATGGGCTTCCTTGGAATATGAGAGAGAGGGAATGACTGGGTGTAGGATTTCCATTGTTCCAATTGTTGACGCAAGAGTGTGGATTAACTGGAGGTATTTATGAGATACTCCACTGGTATTTTAATCCTCGGGTTTGAGTTCTATTGATTACGATCGGTTGACACCACACAGGTATTTTCGGGTACCCAGTGACTGGCGAAAATGGAAATTATTTCGACAGGGGTTCTACAGCCGCTGGTATTTCCTTGAAATATTGTTAAAATCATTCGGTTAAACTCACTCCCAGATTAATAGGATTCTGAAGCAAATCTTAATTGAGTGATAAAAAAAATTAAAAAACAGGTGGTATTTCTATGGAAATTTTATGTGCCTCTGTTATTAGTTCACAGTTTTTATCCTTCTTTGTTAATTACTTAATTAACAACAATTCTTCAGTGGAATTTCAGGGTTTTTATTTTTAAACTCACAAATCTGTAAGTTAACCCGCCACATGTCTTGACTTTTCGTGTTCATCACCTGTCAAAGTTATTTCACTCCGGGTATCTGCCCACTGAAGAAGATATTGAAGTCGTAGCACCAGGTGTGCCCCTAACACGTGGCTTTGCATTTTTTTTTTGTACTTGACCTTGATGCTGCTATGCAGGTCGTACGACTTGGACAAGTCAACCACAACAGTCATAAATATCTTGGATTTTACGAACCTAAAGAAAAAACTAAAGAAATCACAATAAAATGAAACAGAAATCGTCGATACCTGAAATTCCAGGTGTCAGGGTGGGATTTCTCTCGATTCTCACTTGAAAATTCCAAAGAATGGGAATTAATTTTTGTTCACCAATGATTGTTTATCTGAGAATTATTCAGTGATGCTGGTCAGGTGCCGGGTTCCTGAGAATCAGCGTTGAGATGAGGTGGAGAATGAAATGACCGAGGGAATAATTATTCTTGGTATGTGATAGGCTGTGATACGTTGTTAGGAAACGGAAGACGAATATAAACGCAAGTGTTTCGTGCTTGAACGATGAATCACGCATTATGTGTGGTTTTTAAACAAGAGAGATCAATTTGCTTGAGTTGGAGTCAATTAAAATAAGGCGTGTCTTGTGAATTCCACTCGGTCGAACCCCAAGAAAATTTCCATTTTCGATAATTTATCATGACAAATCCAATATTTTTCATATTCCTGAATAATTTCCTTCCTTTCAAATAATTTCATTGAGGAAAAAGCCTTTGATGCCTGCACTTCAGCTCTGATTATCTGCACGCACCAACTGCAATCTCCACGAGGGGTTGAGAGGGGCACGCGTGAAGGTTCAATTTTTCGATTTTTTTTAAATCCTTTATTTTTTTTTCTTTTTTTGCAACATCCAACATCGCGTGTCAGCCCTCGGCCCCGCTAAATGCCGGATGCTGAATCGATTTCATTTTCATTTTTTCCTCAACTCGTTTGTCTGTTGAAAATTACCAGAAGGTCATGGACATTGAAAAAAAATCGTGGTAAGTGAATAACGATATATTCAAACAGCTATCAGTACATTTGAGCGTGTTATACTCAACTCGCCACAGTCCGCATCGAATTTCCCGTCGCTGTCACGGTTTAATCTGACATTCGTCATGAGTAAATGACTTGAGTCATTCTCTTCTCATTTTTTTTTGCTGGGGATGAGAATGAAAGGATGTGATTCAGTTTGGATTTCTATCTGGGGAATGGACATTCGAGACTGAAACCGATGCATCACCGGTTTTTTGTCTCCAGTAAAATTGAAACGAGCTGAAAATTTCACATTATATTTTTGTCATATCCACAATCATTGCAACAACGATATTAATCTCACCCTCACGTAATCCTAAAGTTAATTGGAGTGGAATTTGTTGGGGTCAATCGTACCAAGAATGCCAAGGAGAAGAGTCCACTCATCCCTCGTTTTTTTTCAATTCAATTTATTCAATTTTAAGTTTTAATTATTTTTATAGAACTGGAAATATTATTAGAGAGTTGCAAATAAAGCGAGTTTGGCTATAGGAGCGGTCAGTTGTTGTTTTTCATTGATGTTTTTATAATGGGAATTACGACGATTGACGAATAATTGGGGATTGTGATGAGAGGTGAATGAACTTGTTCTCTGTGTGATTTTCAGGAGGATGAGGAGGAAAAGGTAGAGGAGACGAAGGCGGAAACGCCGGGTGAAACACCGACCGAAGGTGGTGATGCAACGACACCAACTGAAGGCACACCAGCCAGTCCCACCTCTGCAACATCACCAGATACAAAGGAATCCAAAAAGAAGGAAAAGGTGAGAGGGGTATTATTTACCTGGAGATAATTCTGGCCCCTACGACTTATCTCACCGCAAAGCATTTACCTCATTTTTTTTTTCTTCACTCCTCGTCGTTATTATTATTCCGTTAAAATGAAATTTACATTTTTAATATTTCTTTGCAGACAAAAAAGAAGTGGTCCTTCAGGACGATAAGTTTTGGGAGAAAGGACAAGACCAAGCCAGTTCGTGAGGACGCACCCAAAAATGGTGATGTCAGCAAAGAGGAGCCACTTGCTGAGGTAAGTGAATAACTAGAAGCTAATTATTATTTTGTGGGAATTATTTTTGGGGGTGTATTGAATTTATTGGCGTGTCGAACTCTTAAGGAGATGAAAGAACTTGAAAGAACTTTCAGTCCGCTTCACGAAGGATTTATAAAATGATTGATAGAATCATTGAAATTTTTTTGCAATTGAAGTTTTTACCACAGAAAGCCGTCAATTACTAATCAGTCAGAATTCTCTTTGAAAAAAAATCTTGTCTGAAAACTATCCAGACACACCTAAAAACCCAATAACTTCATCTCAGACTTGTTCAATTTATGATTCCCAAAATTTTCTTTCCTGATTTCTCCTTCCACACGATAATTTGATAACCCCCGGGCATCCCACTTGGATATCTGGTGCGGCCTTGATCCGCTCTCTTCCTCATTCTGAATAAGCCATGAGATCTGAGAGATCAGGCGTCCTCCATACCTCCAGAGAGGGAGAGAGAGAGAAAAAAAAACCCTTTGAAAAGGAAAAGAAGAGAGCATCAAGAGGATTCAAACGAGAGCAGGGGTGTCTGTATGTGTAGCCAAACGAAGGGCAAAACAATGAGAAAAAAAAAGCCACAGGAGGTGGGGATAAAACGAGTCCCCATCCATGACTCATCCTTCTGGCCTCCTGCCCTCCCCCTCGGTGGAAACCGGCTCTCCTGAATTATCCTCAACTCGTAACATCGATCCTCTTTTACCTACGTTGTCTGCCTCGCCTCAAAATCAACCTTCGAAACTACTCGTGGTGTACCACAAGTGAATCTACATCTGCTTCTCAGGAACTACTGTCTCAGGATGAGGCACGGGGAGACAGGACAACTGGGCGTGGGCTCTGAATTATTCGAGTTGTTTAGGATAATTAATATTTTTTCTACCGAGGGAGAAGTTGAGAATTGGGGATTCATCTCTCGTCAAGGTTTTTCGAGGGCTCCAACTCCATAAAATGTCACTCAAGCTGTACGAATTTTTACAAAATGCATTCCAGAATTCCACCAAATATCTCCAGGTATCTGGAGTTATTTAAGAAAAGAGCGGAGCGAGAAATTTCAGTCCTACGAATTAGAATTAGAGTATAGGGATTTTTTCATGGAGTTGGAATCGTCGGTCACCAATTCAATCGTAAAATCATGAACTATCTCGAATGAACTTTATACTTCACTCGGGATGATTTATGATGAAGAATAAATCGCTCCAGAGTCAATCGTAACTCTGACGCGTGGGCTAAGAGTAACTGGTTGTGGTTTGGAGAAAGACAGGATTCTTCAACGCTTGAATTAAAAAAAAATTTTAAAGGGGTAAAAATCACGCAAGGAAGGTGATAGGATCTGCAATGAGTGGATAAAGGAGTAAGTAACGATCGATCGATGGAGAATAAATTCAAGGGAATCTTGTGGATAAATAAAACCCAATGGAACCACTCCCAGTTTCTGTACCACGCGTATTTTCTGGGTGAAAAAAGAAAATACAAGGACGACCCACACACAGTTGTCTGCTGATTTTATTTCCTGTTGAGGGGCAGTAGTTCTGGAGGAGTTGATGGAAATTCGCTTGAGGTGGACAGGTTTTGACAATCAAGTGGAATTAAAAATGTTCTACACCCTTTACACAAGACTTCACATTTTTAAGATTTTTCCGGCGAACAAAAAATTATAAAATTATATTCTTTCACATTAATTTGATCCAGGCCCTCCCAAAGATTTACAAAAAAGAAAAAAAAGAAAAAAATGAGTAGATATCGGCAATAACTCCTTAAAGGCAATTCAGACAATTATAAATCATTCGAGTGTAATTCCCGATGAATGGGCATCAGACTCGACAGACTGGCCCCTATTTATCCATCAAGAATTACTAATTATACAATGTGTTAATCGAATGGGAAGGTGAGGGCCATTGGTGGCACCCTATCCCTCATTGGTCCCGGTTCAGCGGCCCAAACTTCCCGGATACTTATCCACTCAGTTATTCCATTCCAGTTGGTCAACGTCACCCCTTTTCTCGAGTAAAAAAAAATTTCATTAATGAAATATTATATTCCCTATTCTCTCGTTTCCCCTCTCATTCCATTAATTTTCCAAGGGAAGAGGTTGTAACGGTGAATTGTTGTAAATGATGAAAGACACAGATTGAGCTATCAATCATGTCAGGTTGAAGACTGGGTCAGTGCACGGGTAATGAGCACGTGCACTTTTTGTCGGTGGAATTTCCACGATTCATATTAGGAGTTATGGGACTTGGACGAGTTGAGTCGGGATTCAGGGTGACTGATGGCTAGCTGGATCTTTCTCATGGGATTTTTTATTTATTTTATTTCGGTCTAGATCTGTTCTCGTGACAGGGAGATTCATTTTTGAAGAAAATTTTCTTCTCTCTCTCTCTCTCTCTCTCTCTCTCTCTCTCTCTCTCTCGCCCCTCTTTTGTTGCCAACTTTTTAGCTGACAAAAAAAAGAAACGAGATGTCAGAGTTTAAGGGTTGAAGATCGATGGAGAGATTCACCCCTCGGGTGGTGATATCTTCGCGCCTCGATGAATGTCACATTGTTTCCGCCACACCCAGTCCTCTCATCTCCCTTCTCTCGCAAATTTACACCGCTAAAGGGGTGGATGGGTGGGAAAATAGCACGAGACACCTCTGGCTTTTGTGAGATTCTGCTTCATCGGGGGATTTCGCGAGACAGCGAGGGTTGAAAAATTCTTCTCTGAGCGATTTTCAGTGATTTTTCAAATGACCAGTGATCAATTATTTTCTCAATGTGTCAACATGACAGATGTTGCACCTTTGGCCTGATGAGGAATATTATAGTATTATTATAGGCGAGATGAGGAACTGGTTCGTCGAGAGTTTCACTGCAAGGTGTGCAGATGTATTTAAAAGCCAGTTGTTATCCCAACCTTTTTTTTTTTTTTCAAGTTCTTTTTTTGCATGTGGACATGTGGACGATGACCATGGGAAATCGGCAGGTGCTGTCGGACCCTGGCCAGTGTATAATCCACTGGTATTTGCTTTCTAAAATCTCGGATACTCGTGATGCAGTCATGGAGATGTGTCCACTGGCTTTCGTTTCGGCTGTTTGAATATTCCAGGAAATTACCTAACTTCTGGCCAAAAAGTGGAGGTCATATTTATGGGAATTTTTTTTCATTGCCCTTGGAGTTATCCACAAAAAGTTTTCACCTCTTTCCATCATGTTCTCCTTCTCCACGGGGTGTACAATAGACTAGAAAAATCCGTTTGAAGTCCAGTGAACTTTCCCCGACTTCTGTCAAAGGAATAGATAACAATCACCTCTCTAAACCCGTAACCATTTTTTTTTCACAAGTTTGTATTGACAATGCCCTGGAAGAAACTCTTCACACTTTGAAAGTCGTAAAAAGAAATTCTACTTTTGAATGAGCCCACACCAGTTGTCTGGACTCAAATATTTGGCTCCAACCGAGAATTTTATCCTCTCGTCCCAGTGATAACAATTTTTGCCATTTCATGATTTTACTATTACCCTAAGGATATTGCCCTCTTCTAGCCAAAATTGTCGATTCATTATAAAAGATAATATTTATTTTATTTTATTTAAGTTTTTGTCATTATTCCATGACTCAACAAATCAATTATGATTAACACTAAATAATAATAATAATTATTATTATTCAAGAAAATTACTTCACATTCACAAAACTTTGTGAGTCACAAAGTAATAGTAAAATGCAAAAACTATTTTTCGATAAATCCGACCACCAATTTGTTAGAAAACAAAAAAAATGGTAATTTTCACTAAAACCTGACAAAAAAGTTAAATTTCGCCGCAATTATTTTACCGAGTAATAAAAAATTATAATTTCGGATTGAATGGGATGCTTTCAATTTGCTCAACAATTCGTTCAGAGTGTTCTGGTAACTCGACTGATATGGTCTTGTGTTCGGGGGTGTGTTATGGAATAAGGTGGGTACATAAAGAGGCAAATTCAGGGTGGAGGGGTGGGTGGAAGAAAGGGGGGTAGTTAAGGGAAAAATAAATGGGGGTGAAATTGCGGAGAATCCCGATACGTGGCAGCCCTGGCGGATTTGGGCGTCGTCTAGTATCGAGCGAGAAGCAGAAATGCCGGGGTACGCACCAGCTCGGTTTCCATGGCAACCGTCAGACTCGCGGGACTTTTCGCATTTCGTGAAAATCAACTATCCCCCCTCTTTTATTTGGCAAATTGTACACGCTATGGATTTTATGAGGTTGCGTCATGGGATTGGTTTCTTTGTAGGACGAATTGTTTTCATTGATTTCGAATGATGAATGTTGTTCGATAGTTACACTTGTAAAATTTTTCGCTACTAGTTTACACCATGAGGAGACTCGCCTTGATATTACTGGGCATTATTATCATTACTTTATTTTATTTTTATTATTCTTGCTATTATTGAATCGGAAGGAAGATAATTCAGGGAACAATCAATTTGATTCAATTTGATTCAATTTGATCGATCGCCACAGTTCAAGTCGAAATGTTATTCGAGTTTCACTCGCACAGTTTTTATCAACTATTTTCTATCAGAACGTTTCTCAAATAATTGGATATTGATCCATAAATGATTAATATTCCAAAAATAATAACTGACTGAATATCAATAATAAATTGTCGACACCTCTCTCCATTCAATTGCCAAATTTAATAATTGAATTCTCCACTAATTGGACATCTTTAATTAAGTAGAATTATTATTGTTACTTTTGGAGTGGATGCTGGAGAAAATCATTGAACACTGCATCTGGTTGAGGATTATTGTTTGACTGGGGGCAATGAAAAGATGATGATTAGTTCTGCTGAGGGTACTTGAACTAGAGACAAAGATCTGTGATGATTCTAGACTTGGATCATTGCCAGAGCCCTGATATAAGCCAATCGACGTTCGAGGGTAAATAGTTGATAAAAAAGAAGAGTGGAAACTCGATACGGGCGAGGTAATGGCCGAGTGTTGGTGGAAACGGGTGGAATATTAACACTGGGAATAAACCCTTCGGGGGCTATTGTACTCCGGACATTCTCGGGAAACTCCATCGGGCCAATGACTCACTATTTTTTTTTAACCCACTTTTTTCAACTATTCTTTTTCTCTCCTTCGTGGTACCTCGGTACACATTTTTTCCACCGGAATTCTCTTCTCTTTGTGGATATGTACCTCATCCCAGTGAATTCTGATGGCAAAAGCTCAGTGACCGAGAAACGGCTCTTCGGCTTTGTTCGAGATAGCTCTCGTGGATTTTTCAGGGGTTTTTTTATTCATCCGTTGATTTCTCGGTTATGAAAATACGCCTCGGGGGATTTTTACATCGGGAAGTTGTTCTTTAAGGGAAAGACCCGGAGGGATGAATATTTCGTTGATGTTGAGTCTAAAATTCTGGAGAACGATGAAAAAAAAAATTACTCGTGCTAGTTTCAAATTTTATACCTAATTTTTTTTTTTATCAGCGCAGGGAGATACCCGTGGAATCGCTAATGTAAGCGTCAGCCGGTAAAATTCTCTGGTGGTACCGACGCAGATTTAATACCACTGGTACCGCCTCCAGCGGTGGTTTCCCCAGGCCCTCCAAGCACTTCAGAAAATCCCCAGACCCCAGAAAATTCCTCTGACGAAGGTCACCAACACTCACCCGGTGAAAAATCAGTCAAACCGACATCAAAACCCGGTGCTTTCGTTACCGTAAAGCTATACCCCAAGGCTCTAACAAGTTCCTTGTCCCTGACGCAACTGAATGTCCGTCACACAACACCTTCACACATCATCTCGAATATCTCATTTTGCGTTTTCCACTGGTGTTCACCTCTTGTTTTTAATCAATTCGATAGTTTCTTTTTATTTCCATCAAAAACCCATTGGAGCGGAGACGACAATTGCGTCGTCGGCATTCTGATCGTGGAGCACGCGCCGGGGTAACTAATACCAAGGAACAGCGTCACCGGTGTCCAAGAATAGATCATGTGGTTTGCAGATTTTTTTTCTCTCTCTTCTTTCTATCTTCTTTTTCATTTCTCTTGCTCTCCGATCTTTATTTCTGGAGGGAGGAAGCAGATTAGATGAAGTATCCACGAATTTGGCTGTGAAGTGGTTAAACTGTCTTGAATAAATTGAAATATCTCCGAAATTAAACGATTCAGCGAAATTTTCGTCAAGATCTTTTTTGTAGAGCTAATTATGAACTGCAAAAAAGATCTTTACAAAAAATTCGCTGTCTCTTTCAGTTTCAGAGTTACATCTGAAGAAAAAACCCTGAAGTGCTGCAGTAACTTGCGACGTTTTGCCACTTTACCACCAGAATTACGGCGTTGTATCTCTTCAAGGAAGAGAGCTAGCAAAAATAGTGAACAGACATTTTTTGTAGCTCGTAAAATTCCCCACTAAAAAGTTCCTTCGAACTTCTCCCTCAGACCTATCTCTACCGAGGTATCCCCAAATTAACGAGCGATTCGTCCTCTTCCACGATTTGCCTCTCTTTTAATTTCTCTCCAACTCTTTTGCTCCAGTCGCTAATTACAATTTAACCCATTGCCCTCCCCCACAGAGGGTTTCCATCAACCCCTGAAATTCTTGGCAATGAAGGCGTACCTCCCGGAAGTGACACCTCTCACCTAGAATTAGAGTACGAGTAATTGAATTATGAGTGTAACAACCACCTACGATTGAGATTTAGGTAGTGAGTCCATGTCCCGTCGGTTTCTACGTCGTGGGACGATCCTGGGGGCAGGTCTATATAAACCTCAGGCACCGCCCGAGAGACTGCGAGTCATCGAGAGGCATTCGATAAAGCAAGTGCTCTCTGAGAAATAGATCAGCATTTTTTTTTCGTTTATATCTTTAGTTTTTTATCACTTTATTTTGATTATTTCGAGACTATTCGAGGGTTCTTTAAACAACAGGATGGAAACAGTGGTGAAGGTGAGCCGAACGGTTACCAGTGGTGTTTACCGTATTTTTATGAACGGTGCAAGACGCGTTCTAGCCGCTATACCCCTTCTTGGGTTTTACGGGGATGAGGTTGATGATTCTGCTGATGAATCACGAACGGTAATGGGTTCATACTTTGGCATGCTTCAGGTTTTGCGTGGGGAAATGGAATCCTCTGGGAGACCACTTGTGCTACCTGATTGCTCTAATTTTTTCCCTTCCATTGATTAATATCAATTGGAAAATTTTATAAAAGTTGCGTGTGAGTTTGCAGTCTTTGTTTTTTCTCTGGTTTGATTTTTTTGGAGTAATTGCTATTATCCGTTAATCCCTGAGGGGTAATCCTCTTTGTTTTAATGGCGTAATTATCTCCCGGCGGTCTTTAACGATTTTTAATTGATTAATCCAGGGGGTGGGGGAGAATGCATAGCAGGGGTTTTTTTTGCACTGGCCGGGAAGGTAATAGTCGACGTAATTGAGGGATTCAAGAAAATTTGACGCATGGAGTGTTTCACAATTGTATAATTAATCTGTAGATCTTGTACTAATTATATAACAAATTCATTTTGATGTTGCTTATGACCGGAATTTTATGACGTTTTCCGTTGGACATGTATGGCTCCGTCTAGTCTAAAAATAACCGAAAGAAACTCACGCCGGTGTTCTATGGCATTTCTTATGCTCATCTAAACATCGATACAGCCAGAGAAAGTTCCCGACAAACTGGTGATTAAAATTGACGGTTAATTATCGAAAATTAATGCCCCAATTCTGTCAATTACTTTCCGTTAAAGAGCAACGAAATATTCATCTGTGGTGGATTTTTCCAGTGCAGTCTCAACTATTTCTGCACGAAAAAGTGCAAAAGACTGTACGTCAGTACGTTTCAGTACGTTTCAGTACGTCTGTATCTCTTCGAGAGAGTGCACTCTACGATTTTATGGAAGAGTGAGCGTGGCCCACCACAGGTGACACGCTTGCACACATTTTATTTTATTTTATCTCGGCATCACGCACCGATGGGCATCACTATATATATATATATATATATATTTTTTTTTTCTTTTAACGCATCGCCAATATGTACCCTGGGGTGGTATTGGCGTTGGTAAAACGGAAATAGGCTTGTTGTTGCTCGCCGAACGAGACGGAACGGAGACACTGAAACATTTGCACGGAAATGCACTCGACAGTAATGAAAGATAGTAAAATAGATGAATAAATCCAGCATTAGATTGGCGTAATAAAATTCATTTATTTCAGTTACCCGCGAAAAAAAAAATTGTGGCATTAAAAAATTTCAATTGACCAATCATTTTATAATCTTATAATATGGTACATCTTGAAAGTGTAGAAAAATGTTCGATGGGAATTTTTCCTAGTCAGCGATACCGATGTTAACCTGGAGATTGTATTTGCAGGGAGGTGAGGAGGCGGAGACAAGCCCAGCAGAAGAGAAATCGACACCAGCAAGTCCAACAGAGCCATTGCCAGCAGCTGCCGAGGATAGTGAGCAAGCAACCCCAGCAGCAGCTACCGACGATAAGAATGAGGCATCCTCCACTCCTGCCCCCACTCCCACCCCGCTTGAGGCACCCAAAGACGATGATAAAGTGGAGAAAAAAACTGAGGTCAGTCAAGTGCAGGCCGCAATAGTAGAGCCAATGGTAGAAGTCACATCCAAGTCCCAGCCAATCGTAACAGCGTCTATCATTGAGAGGAAAACCAGTGAGGACTTCCCGTCCCACCTTCCATCGAGTCCACCCCCGACACCCATTGACCCATCGCCCCTACAGCAAGCCCACCAATCAGCTGCCCATGCTAATCAGCTTGCTGAGGCCCTCAAATTGCCAGCTGTCTCACTGGTGCAGTCACAGTGTGAGAGTAACGACGCTTCTCAAATAAATGATGAAAATGTCGTTAAAGAACAATTTAATCAATCAGAGAGTCATAAATCATCGATAGAGGATGATAAAGAGCTTGTGGTGATGTCTGAGGAGGGCCCAGTGCCAGTGGCACCTCTTCAAAGAGTTTCTACACCGCCAGAGGAAATTTCTGCAGCTGTAGAAATTATTTCTGCTGCTCCCGAAGAAATTTCGGTGGCTCAAGAAGAAATTTCAGTAGCTCCTCAAGTGTTGCCAGCCCCAGACGAAATTTCGGCAGCTCCAGAAAGTCCAAAGGAACATCTCCCAGAGGCAGAGCACAATGTAGAAAAAATAGTTCCAGAGGTCTCAGAAGTCCCGAAAGTTCCGGAAGTCCCAGAAGTCCTAGAAAAGTCAGAAATCCCAGAAGAACTTCTGCCAGAGCCAGAGCCCAATCTAATCGAAGAGATAACGATCAAAGAAGTCACCAAAGTCGAGGAGAGCATCCCTGTGGAGGAGGTAGAGACCAAAGTGATCGAAGAAACCGACGTATTGGTCCTACCCCCAGCACCACCCTCTGACATCGAGATTGTCGAGGACACAGAACCAAAAGAAGAAATCCCTCCACCCCTTCCAGATTCACCCATTCCAGTGCCCAAGGCCTCCTCAGACCTCTTGAACTTCATGTCCTCCCAGATATCAGACACTCCTCCTCTATCCTCGATAATTGACTGCTCTGCTGTGCCCCAGGTGGCAGATAGCCTCGACAATGTCACCGAAACTCAAGTGCCAGGCCCTGAAAACGACATCTCATCGACTGACAAAGACAAGCCACAAGCTATTGATCCCCAGGATATCGATGATTTACCACCACCAGTTGACGATAATTCTGGCAATAAACACGAGATCCTCACACCCCCACGAAGTCCCAGCCCCTCATCACTCCCACCACCCAAAAATGAGTCCTCAAATGTTAACGATAACAGCATTAACGATGTTAGAACAGAAACAGTTAATAACATCAATTCTTATCATAACAATGTCGTTGATAAGGAGGATAGACTCGCTGATAGCAACGGGGATAAGATGCAGTGTCCATTAAATTACGCAGACATCGTGAAGAAAGACCAGGTGATTAGTTAATGGAGAAATTATCCTGGCATGTGTTGGAGGCAGCAATTAAAAAAAAACATGAGAATTTTGTTATGATGATTTCTGGCATCGTAAGCTCTGATAAGAACTGCTGTACTCTGTGGTAGTCTGACAATTTTTGGGGTCACTCTGGGGTGGACCCCAATTTCTGAATCTCCAACATGTCCGTTGGGTTCTGGGGGGATGGACTGTTGGGGCTCTCTCGTGGGCTTTTGAGGGGGAATTCCAGCCCTTTTTTGGGAGGGGGGGACTTCCTCCGAGGATCAAGGGGGCCTCGACTTCCCCATCCGGGTTTTTGTCCTATTGGGCAGACGGGGGGACTCCTGGGGGTGATCCTTCTCCTAGTACCTTGTGTTGTTTTACCTCGAGGTTTTCTTCACCTGTATTAACAGTTTTTAGTTCGTGTAGATAGGGTGCTCACTGATAGACGAGTTATTATGTGTTTTGGGAAGGAGAGGTTCAAGTGCCTAGGGGAAGAGGATGATTATGAAATTTTCAAAATTATTCTAGATCTTGAAAAACCACTTGAACGTCAAACAATTCATTATTATCGAAAGTCTGTTTGCAATTCTCAATTTATAAAGATTTAATGAATAAAATTGTTAGAGTATTTTAAAAACAGACAGGGAATAGAAAATAAATTTGAAAAAATTAAAAAAATGAAATAATTTCCGGAAATCTTTCAATCTATACTGATATTATAAATTCTAACAACAATTAATACCATAAGCACTTGAATCTCTCCTAAATGAATGAAATGCTGATTCCCTGTGTTTGCATCCTCTAAATTGTAATAATAGCATTCTGCAATCGTCAGCATGTGCCTTGTGGGAATCACATACCATGTACATAGAAATTAACAATTTAAAGGACAATGAGCAATATGTGTTGGGCTGCTTACGTCTTGGCATGCAGGGAGCAGCAAATTTAGAGATTAAACTTTAGTGTTGTTTTTGTTGATGGAACGAGAGGAGTAATAAGAGTTTTGTGTTTGAGCAGAGCATAGCCGAGCCAGAGGCACCAGTCGAGAAGATCAACGAGGTGACGACAGAAAAGATTGAAGAGGCACCCAAGAGCCTTCCACCATCTGTTCCAATTGAGGTTTCTGTACCTGCAGCACCCGTCATCACCGAGGATGTTGCATCAGTCACCAAAGTGAGTTCTTATCAATCGATAGTTTATTTTTACCTCATTTCGCACTGATTAAAAATATTAAAATGATGATCGCCATAAGACCTGTGACTCGCCGAGCGACAGCAGGTCCTCGAGACTAAAATAAAATTTAATTTAGCCCAAGAAGACTACAGAGCGAGGGGCCATCTGATAACAATTACGATATCAATGCCATCTCTTTTTGCAATTATTCATCACGAACTTTTTAACTAAAATAAATTTCCTTTGGTTTCAGGCGATTGAGGAAATCGACATCAATGAGAAGGCAGTCGCAGCGGCAGTGAACGAGACCATTGAAAGTGTCAATACAAATGTGAGTTTAATTATAAAAAACCATCCTCACAATTTTAACCAAACTGTGTATCAACTATTAACTCAACTCTTTAATCAATGACTAATTGGTATCAATTGTCTTCCACAGGAAATAATTGCCGACATGAATCACCAAAACACTCTGAACGAATAAGCGCCGCTAAACGAATTTGTATTTTGGGAAGAAGAAACTTTTTTTTTCTCGTTAAAGCCAAAAAAAAAGTATATTATATAGATATGTATATTTGGACCATTCCTGCAAACTAAACTGAATAACAATTTTTTTTTCGTTAATGAGCAGCAACAGCAAAAACAAGAAAACACCAACGAACCCATAAATAACGACTGATGTTGTTCAACATCGACCAAGGGCATGAGAACCAATTCGTTCGTTTTTTAATTTAAAGGAAAGGAAAAAACAAATTTTATTTCAAAATTTGTAGGGCCTATTAATTGTACAATTCGACAGGCAGGGGTGGTAGAGAGATTTTTTTTCCAAAATTATCAGTTTAATAACAAATAATTTTTTTATCAATCCACAAGTGAAGTTTTAGAACGTAGGAAGTTCATTTGCCACATTGTCGATTGACTCAATTATCTCGATTGTGCCGAGATAATTTTACACTGAAGAAAATCATCGGAATGAACTTTTTGCGTTTTATCTTAACTAGAATTCAAACAATTAAAAAAAAAATGGATAGGCAACAAAAGTAGCGCAGGCGATGAATTAATTTCACGAATCAACATCTCAACAAACTATTGACTGAAATTAAAAACACGAACATCGATTGATCATCGATTGCGATCAATCCCTGCAAATTTGAAAAGACGAAAAAAAAATATGTAGAAATTTTAAAAGTGTCATTAATTGTTATTAAGATAATTCTAATGGGAAATAAAAAAAATTATTAATGTAGCAGTGAGACGAGCGATAAGATTCGTGGGCGAAAGAATTAATTAATTGAAAGAGCTGATTGTAAGTGTGTTCTGTTTAATTGGCTTGAAATCATCGTATTTACCTCATAAAAAAGAAAATACTCATAAAAATAGGCAGGTGAATACGTGTGCATTAAATACCCTTGGTGTCAATAATTGCCACGAAGAATGATCAATTACCGATGAATTAATGAACGAAGGGTCGAGCGGTAAAAGGGCGTGTGTGGATTTTTTTTGTAAGTAAGAAATGAAAAATGTGCGAGAGACTGAATGATGGGGCAATTATCGACAAATGAGGATTAAGAAATGATAAAGGGTACTGAGCCAATACGTGACACACTACATTAATTATCATTTTTTCGTGCTCGTGGAATGAACATTCGATCGAATAACTTCTGTTTTTAACGTTTTAATTACGTAGAGATGGTTGAAGGAGATTAGTAAGAAAGTGTTTCCATTATCTCGTGAATATTCCAACAACTACTGGATTCAGGGAACAATGTCTCTCGATATTTTTCCCGAAAATCCAATGGTTTGAGAGAAAATCACAAAATAAACTGCAGCCTCCGATCTCCAAGAACAAAACCACGAAACATTATCCATCCCATTATTTAGCGAATATCTTTGAAACCAATGGGTTGACGTGAAAATATCAGTAGTTTTCCTGAAAATTCTGTTCTTCACAAAAAAAATTGATATTTTCTCTTGAACTCCTCCAAAGTTATCCGCCAAACGAAATCTCCTTCTCCAATTTCCCTACCAAGTCCCTTCCAACCCCTTGATTCGTCCAAATTTATTAATTTCCTTCAATTCGTAATTGCAAAGAGTTTACACTTCCACACTGCGAACACACGCACACTAAAACAAAAACTTTTTACAAGAAGAAGAAAAAAAACATACGATTACAGTAAGAGCGACGTAAGTGATATATAATCTAGACGTAGAATGAAAAGAAAAACGAAGTTAAAAAATCGTATGTGTAAATTCGACGTTCGAGGGGCTACTCCATTAAGAAAGACACTTTGCCCAATGACGAAAGCCTATCGTAATTTTATGATAATCATCCAAACCGAAAAGTGGGAAAGACAAACTATCGCCTAATTAAACATAACGTGAAAAAATATGTCAAAAATCGATAAAAATTAAAGTAACGAGACCCGCACAATATTTACCATCCCCCCGAAAATACAAAAAACTAAATGAATAATACATTTTTCAACGTTTTTACTACGATGTTTCTACGTTTATACGAATCTTCATGAGAAAAAAAAAATGAGAGGAGAAAAATGATTAACAAATAATTGCCTACAAACGAATTTTGTTGATAAGGGCCGTAGCTTAGATAACGCATATATGTATATGCCTCACATCGGAAAATATTTCTAAGTGTTAGAGTCTCCTTTTTTTTTTCATAATTTTTTCTTTTAAAAAAAATGATAAATGAGGTATCACTCGCATTTGATTTTAATGATTTTAATTTAACGAATGAAAATGATTAATTCAAAATGAATGATGATGGAGGGGAGCGAGGAGGAGGGGAGGGGGATTTTGAGGATAAAAGTGTATAGTAAAATCTTAACTATATGGAGTTTAATTAAATATTGTCCGTAATGATATTTACAACGAAAATGGAAAAAAAATGAAACGAGAAGTGATGAAAATTTTCGATATTTCGTTTGAGGAATTATCTCCAACGAGATGGAAACAACTTTTTTAATTAAAAATATGGAAAAATGGTGAAAAAAATGATGATGGACCTGAGGTGTCTGTGTACCATCGCCCATCAACCGTCTGGGGTGTCTCCATTCCGATTAGAATTCCATTTTCGGTGATTGAGGGACTCGGGGTCTGGGTACACGAACCGATCAATTTTTTCATTTTTTTTTGTACTCCGTTCGTTCTCTTGAGTTTTGGAGGGATCGAGACACCTTGGACGTGGAAGTACCCAGTCTTCAGTATCTTCGATCAGCAGTTATGATAGTAACTATTCTACATTTATCTATATCCTATAATAAACTGTGAAACAAGTGTATAATGGTGGTTTATATTTATTTCCCGAAAATCGTGGCGATTTGAGACCATCACTCATTCACTTCCTCTATCCTCATGGTTTTTTTATTCATCTAGGGAAAATAATTAGTTCGCATTAATTAATATCATACATTGGCAGCCTCCAGTGTTTTGATAAAGCCATCTAGTTCCTCTCGGTTCATCTCGATGTCCAAAATTTCCTCCTGATCTTTCTCTTTCACCCTGAGATCTAGCTGGAGGAGAGGCTCCTTCAACGAAGACATTTTACTCGATCCCATTACCAGCTGGAATAATTATAAAGATGACTGTAGATTTCTACAATTACAAGTGAATAAAAATTAAAAACACCTTTAATCTCCAGTCGAAGTCTATCATCGTGGCAGTCTGTTTCTGGGAATGGTTGAATGCCAAAGCCTTCAGTAATTGATCTCTTCGAATCTTCAGGCAGTCCAGGATGATAACCTGAACGTTTTCAGGTACGTGGAAGAACTCTGCAGGCATCTACCAATAGAAATCCCACATTGAGTAATGAATCGTTTTATTTCACACATTTTTTTCGTATTTTTCATTCGCACTTTTGTGTCGTCGAGGTGGAGAACCGCTGGATTATTGAACAATACTAAGAGTATTTTATGAATATAATTATATTCATCCTCCGTCCAGCCAATATTGAAGAATTGAGAATATGTAGGTCCTGAGGAGCAACAAATTTCACTGATGCAGGAATGTATAAACTGAAAGACAACAAAATTCGATTAATAGTTAATTCCAGAATGGAAATAACATTTTACCTGTGTCAGTAAAGTCTTATTATCCTCTTTTGCGAGGCATAAATTCAGATGTTGTCCATCCATATCAACAATTATTCTGTGCCACCCCCATGGAGAACTAAAAGAACAAAAACATTCAGTTGTCCATCGAAGCTGTCAAATAATATCGAGTGAATTTGAGGTTATGCAAAGGGAGGCGCCCTCCCTCTCTTGGGGTGCAGTACTACGACGACGCTGGGGTCATTCAAACCCCCCCAGAACTAAGCTTCTACTTTAGTCAATCTTCTTTGGTTAAGACCAAAATCCACCCGCTAAATTCTCTTCAATCAATTATTTTTCACTGACTATTGGATTTTACGTGATTGCACTGTTTTTTTTTAAGAGAGAATTATTTATTAGGTTCAGAATTGAGACTGCCCGCGGTCTTCTGTGCGCATGCAGGATGTTCTGTGCGCATGCGCGGAGTATCGCCTGACGACCCCCCACTCGGGCGCCGTCGCCAACGCTGCGCCATTTTGAGTTGGGAGTCAGTCGTTCGGCGGCAGCGCGTGGAACGGTCGGTTGCGTGTCGCGTAGTGAAAATCCGTTAACATCGGGGTCCTAGTGAGTGTAAAAAACCGGTGCCGCCTGTGAACATTGAAAATACAAAGTGCAGGACTGAGTGCAAGTGATTTTGGGATGTGAAATAATTTTTTAAATAGTTTATCAGAGCATTTTGAGTGATTGAGATTTTTCCTTTGTTACACTGAACTTCGGTATTGTCGAACGGCCGCCCGGCGTCATTGTGTTTACATAAATTCCTTTGTCCGTTTCTCGGAATTGTTCAGTGTGTGTTTAGATACGGACAGCAGTGAGAGTGCGAATTAAATTCGAAGGATTACCTTTCTCATTCATCTTATTTTGAATGATTAAAAATGTTATTTGATCTTTGATATTATTTTATTGATCTTTGTGGATTTTGAGTTGATAAAACATTCTTGGTTGTGTGGT